AGGTTACAATCTGAGGGGTTCACAAAGTCAGCTAACACAGTGATCACTGCCCTCAAACCCAAGCCTTCCATACCTGCAACTGTAGGACCTCTCTCTCCTTCTGCTTAAGAAAATCCTCCATTAACCTGGCACGGTTGAGGGCTCCTTGTAACTTACGGTCCTGCAATTCTTCCTCCTCTCTTCTGAGTCGCTCCTCCCTATCACATGACCACAAGAGAAATGGGATACTGGTGAGCCCTCCTCAGGACAGCGGGAGGCACAGCACAGCAGCCTCGCAGGGAAGTGTTTAATGTTCAGGTGAAACCTGCCACGCTCCCATGGGACGAGGACGGTGAAGCAAGGTGCTAGCAGGCCTAGCAGAAGGTGATGGGGTGGTGAAAAGTTCAGCATGACAGATATGGGGCCTGAAGTCCTAGCTATTCACAGAATAGGGATAGCTTGGACAACAACAATGAAAATTCCCCTCATACATACCTAGCATAACTAATGCAATAGGGGTACAAAAGAAGAGAGAATTCAGTGAAGGGGGGGGGAGGCACTAAAAGGGGTGATTTTTACCTTTGTATTCTCCATATCAATTCTTTTTTCATCAAGCCACCATGAAAAATTCAGCTCATGCTGAGAGTTTATAATCTGTGGTTTGGTTTTTGCCATTTCAATGAGATTACTACAAAATAAAGGTTTCGAGCTCCTATTTAAAAGTGTCCTCAAATGTAATCATAATCCCGTCCATAATAAAAGAGGGGAGGATACAGTTCAGTCTCTATGATCCAGCCATTAAAGGAGCCATTTATTGCCAGCTGTGCTGGTGTTACAAGAGGGACATTTGTCTGGCTAATAAGTGTTCTGACACCAAACCCATTTTGTACAGAGGGCTGAACTGCCAGCAGCTAGTAATACCTCTTAATACGGTGGCCTGGGCTGGATTGAAGCTAGAGGTAGAAGGCTCCAGAAGCCATTAGCCTACCTCAGAAGTCATCTTTTCAAGAAACAATCAGTTTAGCAAGCTTGTGATTTTTTTTTTTTACCAACTATAAGCATGTACATGGGGAACAAATATTTAATAAAGGGCACTTCAGTCTAGCAGAGAAAAGTTTTTACACGATCCAATGGATGGAAGTTGAAGCTAGACAAATTCAGACTGGAAATAAGGCACACATTTTTCACTGTAAGGGTAATTAACCATTGGAACAACTAACCAAGGATTGTGGTGGACAATCTCCATCATGGACAATTTTTAAATCAAGATGGATATTTTTCTAAAAGATCTGCTGTAGGAGTTATTTTGGGGAACTTCTATGGCCTGTGTTATACAGGAGGTCAGATTAGATGATCACACTCCAAGGCCAGAAGGGACCAACATCTAAGAATCTATGAATCCACGTGGTCTCTAAATCACAGACGAGAGAAGGCTCCTAAGACCCTTTTGGGGTGGATCACAGCCTCCCTGCGTACCTCTGGCATCTCACATGGTTTCATTGCACTGAAGTGGCACTCCAAGCCCTTCCTGCAGCAGGCCTAAGGGCCACTACTTACCTCTTTTTCTGCAGCCGCTCGTTCTCAGCGCTGTTCCATGCCATCAGCTTCAGGTGCTCCTCCATTGCCTCCGCCCCACTCTCTTTATCAAGGTGCTTCTCATGGTGCTTCCGCAACACCTCTTGCTTGAACTCCGCCCTGGGAGTGAGGCGAGAAAGGGCTTAAGCACGGCACAGTCACATCAACATTGCTTTTCACGGGATTACCAATGCTTCTGTCCTGGGAGATGGATTCTAAAGCAGGTCTTTCACCAGCTAGGGGCCTTCACCTGCCACTGGGCCGACACCACTAGAAAGCTTGAATTGACGACTTCCAGACAGTCACCTGACAGCGCCATTTCCCTTTCCAAATGTTTGGGGGAGGGGGGTTCTTTAAAACCTGGAATTCTGAACATTTATAAGACTCCCCCCCCCCACTCCTGCTAAGGTTTACAAGGGTCCTTTCAGCAAGGCAACCTACCCGTACACGTGCCCGCCCACTGGTTTCTACAATAGAAGTCATCACACCCAACCCTATCCTACATCTCGACTCCTCTCCAGGACCCGAAGTAGTAGTGCTGGGGAGTGATGAATGAACACACACACGCACGCACCCTGGTCATTGCTCCCTGGGCACACACAGAGGGAAGCACGGGCATGTTAAGAGACCACCCCGGCTCCCCAGCTCTGTGCAGGGTAGAGTGACCAGACAGTAAGTGTGAAAAATCGGGACAGGAGGTGTATGTGTGTGGGGGGGGGAAAGAGGGGGTAATAGGCACCTATATAAGAAAAAGGCCCAAATATCAGGACTGTCCCTATAAAATCAGGACCTCTGGTGACCCTAGTGCAGGGGGAGGCACGAGGCTGGGCACTGGTGACCCTAGTGCAGGGGGAGGCACGAGGCTGGGCTCTCGTGACCCTAGTGCAGGGGGAGGCACGAGGCTGGGCTCTCGTGACCCTAGTGCTGGGGGAGGCACGAGGCTGGGCTCTGGTGACCCTAGTGCAGGCGGAGGCACGAGGCTGGGCTCTGGTGACCCTAGTGCAGGCGGAGGCACGAGGCTGGGCTCTGGTGACCCTAGTGCAGGGGGAGGCAC